CAGGCTCAGCTGTTAACTTGGTATGCCATCTCTAGGATTCCTGTAACACTGGTGTTATGTATTGAGCCTAAGCCTTTTCTCTAGCTGTACCTAGAATGGGCTGAGCTTGTTTCTCTGGAACAATAGCTAGCCTGGATCCAGGAACTAACCTATAGATAAGTAGTGTCATGTAAATAGGCTATCACTGGGAGTGTGTGTGTGTGTTGGGTGTGGTGTTTTGCATGCTTATAAGCAGGGCTCCAGCCCTGCTAGCTTTGTCATGTAGTTTGCTGAAATTGGGTCATTTGGGGCTGGAGCGTGCTGGAGCACTGCTCTGGCAGCCCAGGAGCAGGCACAAATGGTGGTGGCGGCAAGCCCCACCCCCAGCTCCCTGACCTTGTGCTCCTGCCTCCCTCCTGAGCCTCTCCACTTTTGTGGAGAGACTGGGGGGGGATAAATCCCTGGCTTCCCTGCACCAGCTCCTCCAGGCTCCCCGCAGCCACGGAGTGCCTGGAGAAGGTGGGGCAGGGAAGCCAGGCATGACTGCCTCCGTGTCCTCCCCGTTTCCAGTCAACCCATGCCCTCCCCATTTGGCTGGAGACGGGGAGCACACAGAGGCAGACATGCCTGCCTGCCTCCCCCCTGAGCCTCTCCACTTCTGTGGCGAGACTCGGGGGGGGGATATAAACTCATTTGCATAACTCATTTTAAGCATGCCTGCCCTTCGTCAGGGGGTGTGGCATATGCAAATGAGTTATGCAAATGAGCTCCTGCACCTCTTTTTCTAGGAAATGACCCCTGGCTGAAATCACTGAATAAGCCTGAGCTGATCACTGCGATCTGTCTAGGACTCAGCATTTAACACCTGTAGTGGCTTTTTATGCCTCCCTTTTGTGTAAGAGAGTCAAATGCACAACACATACCTTAGAACTATTCAATGTGATCAGCCAGTGAAAGGGGTTTTCCAAGGGCCCAACTGTGACAGTGGGGCCACAGCAAGCTCTGTGCTGGGATGGTGGAGATGCCTATGCACTTTTTACCCCGCCTGGGAGTCTGTGGGAGCAGGGAGGAGCGGAGGAGGAGCTTCCTGCGCTCTGTGGAGGGACAGCCTCCAGTAAGACCGAAGGGTTTTCATGTGAGCATCAGGCCAGTGTGGCCCATGGGAGTTGGGGAGGTCATTCTGTGTCTTGGTAATTGCTATTGCATTCCTGTCCCTGCTGTTCTGCCTGTGCCGCAACGCTTATCTCTACAGATGTGCAGGAGGATGTTATGTTGGAAGTTGTATTGTCTGGAAGTCTCCTATGTACCGTGAGAGACTACTGCTTCCCAGCTTTAGCCACCTAACCGTTTCCCAGCTAGTCCCTTGTGCGGGGGGGTAGCTAATTGGCCCATGCCATGGGGGGTTGCATATGAATGCCCTATATCCTATTATGTTCAATGGATTGCTGCCATTCTCAACAGTGCCTGTGTTACTGCATCTATGGCCTTGCAATAAAAGTATAACCGTTCTTGAATGCGTGTACTTTGTTGTAAGCTGTGGGTTCTGACACCCAGTGGCTAGAGCGTTGGGTTAGGATCAGGACAGTGCAGGGCAGACAAAAGGAAAGGAGATTCTCCTTTACTCAGTGAGTAATTAAATCGTGGAATTTGCTGCCAGTGGATGTAGTGATGCTCACAAGATTTAAAATGGGGTTTGACAGACGGCGCTTTCACAGATGCTGAATAAAGCACTTTCAATCCACTTTCAGTGCACGCCATAACTGGATTGTACTATGTGAAATGGCAAAATCCCCTTGCAAAGATCACCAAAGTGCATTGAAAGTGGATTTGGAGGAGGGGTCCGTCAGTAGTCACTAGCTATGGTCACTAAACAGAACCTCCATACAAACAACAAAAGCAGGAAACCTCTGATATCCAACACTAGAAGGCAACATTGGGGAGGGGGAAGCCTTGGCCACTATGCCCTGTTTTTTTGACTTCCAGAGGAACTGGTTGGGGCCACAGTGTGAGGTAGGATGCTGGACTAGGTAGACCACAGATCTGATCCAGGAGGGCTGCTCTCGCCAATGTTGTTCAACATCTACATGTGCCCCCTCACCCAGCTGGTCTGGGGGTTTGGGCTGGGTTGTCACCAGTACGCGGATGACACCCAGCTCAATCTGTTGATGGGCGGCCACCTGGACTCCACCCCAGATATTCTGGACAGGGCTTTGGAGGCCATGGCTGGGTGGTTACAGCAGAGCCAGCTGAAACTAAGTCCAACAAAGATGGGGGTCCTGCAGAGGTTGAGGAACCTGGAGGTGATTCTGGATGTCTCACTCTCTATGGAGGCCCAGGTCACCACTGTTGCCAGGTCAGCCTTCTATCGTGTTCGGCAGACCAGGCAACTGGCCCCCTATCTCTCCTCCCGGGACTTAGCTACAGTGACCCATGCAATGGTAACTTCCAGGCTAGATTACTGTAACTCACTTTACACAGGCTTACTCTTGAATCAGATCTGGAAACTCCAGTGATTACAAAATGTGGCTGTGTGCCTGCTGATAATGACGCCAATTGCACTGGCTACCAATTAAGTATCGGATCCATTTCAAGGTGTTGGTATTAACCCTTAAAGCTGTATGTGGCCTGGGATCAACATATCTGAGGGACGGTCTTTCCCCATATGTGCCCTGGAGAGCCTTGCACCCTACTGACCAACGTGTGCTGGCTGTCCCTGGCCTAAGGGACGTCCGCGTAGCCTTGACCAGGGCCGGGGCTTTCTCTGTCCGGTGGAATATAGGCTCCCACTTGAGATCAGGGTCCTGCGAGACTCATTGCAGTTTCTCAGGGCCTGTAAAACGAACGCCAGGCCTTCTGCTGAGGCGGCAGATGCCCAATTATTTGGCCTCTCCTGCTCAGAACTTGCCCAATGAAAGGTACCCATGTGAAAGACCTACTATCGCCCCTTTGGCTGGCAGGTTTCCTGTTTCTGTTGCTTGTTTTTTTAACATCACGAGATCCATGAACTGCTGCTAACGAGACCAACATTTTCTCATTTAAACTGTTTTTAACTATTACTGCTTATATAACTTGTTTTAATTTTGTTGGATGTGTTCTGTTGTTGCTACCTGCCCTGAGCCCACTTGGAGGAAGGGCAGAGGATGTAAGTCGAACAAATAGATGAATAAGCCCCGTATTCGTTGCTGTAAGAGCCCCCCACTCCCAGCCCCCATTGGGGAGAACAGTGGGATGTAGATGAAGAGCACCAGTCAAGGAGCCTGCCTGTCTCCCGGTGTGAGTGGTCTGCTGGTAATCTGGTCCCAGACGTTGTCTGGTTGCCAGAGGAAAAGATCTGAGAGCCTCTTTTATGGGGCTTGCTTCTGTGGTTTTTCAGAGAGCTCCCTCTGCCGGATCAGAAGTCACCTTGTGAAGACTTTTCTATCAAATACTATCTATCTTGAGTCGCAGCAAGGCAATCACGTGATCACTGGTCCTAACAACATCCACGACACCATCTCAAGCTCAACATCCACGACACCATCTTAAGCTCACTCACTGGCACTTCTGACATCAAAAGTCACAGGACCGAGAAACCTGCAGGAGAGCACTTCAGCCTCCCAGGACATTCAGCGGGTGACCTCGAAGTAGCCGTTTTATTATTGCAAAGGAACTTCAGGAACAGACTGGAAAGGGAGATTACTGAGTTGCAACTTATTACAACACTCGGAACAATGGAACCACCAGGACTTAACAGGGATATTGTTCTGTTATCTCACTATACATGCTAACCTCATCCAGTGCTTAAATCCGTATTCTCATCAAGAAGGGCCATACATCCTTATTTCATGTTATTTCTGATTTGGAATAGTAGATTGGATTAGTGATTGTAATGTAATGTAATGAATAGTAGAATGTAATATAATTTGGAATGGTAGACCGAAATGTAGTCTTCTGTTCTGGGGACAGAGGAGATATATACTGCACAGCCAATCAACCCACCTCAAAGAAAGGAATGCTCTTAAGTTACCTCCATGCTTGAGATCATAATGGATCATAATGGCAGCATCTCAGTTAATTACTCTCAGCAGTCCACAATTCAGAAGGTTGCATCAACTCACCTATCTCCAGTTTAGATATATTATTTCCTTCACTATGTTTCCCCTCAGAATTAAACCCAAACAGATGGTGACCATATAAACTAAGCTTTATTTCAGTTTGGTCGTTGCATCTGTTAAAAGCCTTTTGTTATGCCTATGCTAATTTGCTGCTCACTCTACCTATATGTACGGACTGGTAGCTGCCATTTCATTGGAACAAAATTCGAGTCCAGTGGCACCTGTAAGACCAACAAAGTTTTACTCACAGTATAATCTTTCATGGGCATGCACATTTCTTTACTTCAGACAAACTGAAGAAGTGTGCATGCATATACAAAAGCTTATCCCTTGAATTAAACTTTGTTGGTCTTTAAAGTGCCACTGGACTCAAACTTTGTCCTGCTATTTCAGACCAATGCGGCAACCCACCTGAATGCATAAGAAGTTACCTTTTTAAAACATGCTTAATGCCTAGAAGTCTATGAACCCTCCAATCACAATGATTTGAGAGCTGTTTTCAGACTGGAGTCTCCTCTCCGAGCTCCACATAAGATTTCCTCTTGTTCTTTTAAACTTAGTCTTTTGTTGTTGTGCTGTCTGACTTAGTTGTTACATTCTGTAATCTGCCTTTTGCATTTCAGTGGGAAGGGTGGGCTATTAATACAGTAAATAAAATAAAATAAATTCATTATCTCGGGTCTGAGAGGGAGAAACAGAGGTCTGTACTGGCAGCCTTCCCCTTCTTCATCTTCCCAGCAAGAGGCAACACGAAGGTCTGATGACGTCCCCCCGTCCTTTGTGGAGTCTGTCAAGCCATTCATTTCTCCACCACCAGCAGCGAGACTCCCTGAAGCTCTGAACTCAGACAGACTCCAAACCACCAAGCGATCCAATTCACTCATGCTGGAAGGGGTGGGGGTCCCATTATCTTCATAGCCCCCCTTTTCAGATTCTAATATGGAAAGTGCTGTTTAAAACAATGCAATAATACTTAAGCATCTGTGTCCCGTTAACAGGTCAGTAATTAGGAAGTAGGGCATGGGGAAGGCAAGTGAGGATTTAAAGAAACATCAGGTGTAAGCTAAACCCAAGCAAGTCATCCCAAACAAGTCAGGGGCTTCAGCTTAGGCAGAATGCCGTCGCCCTGGCTGGGCAGAAGAGCCCAGGACTGAGATGAAAAGGATGCCAGGAGGGGAAGAGACGACATCCTGCCAGTGTGCCATTTCTCGTTAGTAGGTGCGATGGTGGGAGGGGAAATGTCTGCAGGGCATTCCCGGTGTGGTTTCCTCTTATGTGGGTTTTTAAAAACAGCTTAACGTGTGAAAAAGGAGGAGGGCTTCTCCAACTCTGATCAGCCCGGGCCCACCAACGGGAGTGGGGCCAAGAGGGCAGGACGGGTTCTGTTACCTGAGGAAGTCAGGTGCTCGCACAATCATGTGCTGGAAGTCCTCCAAGGAGAGCTTCCCGTCGTTGTCCATGTCTGCCTCGTCAAGCACCTTGTTACACACCAGGTTCACCTCCTCTGGGGTCAGTTCTTTGCGCGTCAGCTTGTTAACAGTCTTCTCCAAGTCAGACTTGCAGATGTAGTCGTCATTGTTAAAGTCTGTTGGAAAGAAGCCAGTGACCATTCCTGCTTCAGCTGTGTGGGCTCTTCCTCTCCTTTGCTCCCTCCCCATGAGTCCAACCCAAACCGAGCCCTTCTCCTTGAGTGGGAAAGAGCAGAGCCAGACCTGTGGGGGCCCTGGCAGTGCCAGCAGCACAGCAGCCCTTGGTGCACCCTTGGGCCCTTCCCACCCTGTGTTCTGCTGGGAGTCTGGCCAGCTGGTGGACAATCAGCCCTTCCTCTCACAGGGAAGGCGCAGAGGGTGTCTCTCTCTCTCTCTCTCTCTCTCTGGCAGGGCTTGTCATGAGAGTCGCACTGTTTTCTGTGGGGACCGAGCTGCAGCAGCTCTGCACAGTCAGAATCTCTCATCTCCAGGAGCACTTTTGCCCTTCGCTGAAGGGAAATCTGGCTCTGTGGCCTCTCAACAGTCTCTGTTCCTTGAGCAGCTGCCTAGTAGCTGTGCTTGCTGGGTGTTTGCCGTTGTGCCTCCAATGGTGACATGAAACCCCTGCTAGGGCAGGCGGCTCCACCGTCTCTGCTAGCACCCTTTCCTCAAGGGACCCTCTGTATCCGCCCCGGGACTCCCACCTCTGCAGTCCTTTGCTGGCTGCTGAAGTGGCCATTGGCCTGCAAGATAGGATAGCACCCCCCCACACACACACACACAAAGACACACACACAAAGACACTCTGCTGCCGGTCTGAGAGGGTGACACACAGCCTGCGTTCGTTTTAGGACGTTCCTAAATGCCACCTCTGTGGGGTCCGGCAACCTGCAGCTCTTCCTTGTGGGCCCCCCCCCGCCTCCACAGCGCTGAAGGTTCCCCAGGTCCACGCACCATATATTTTGAAGGCATAGTAAGCCTTGAGGTCCCGGGGAGCCATTTCGCTCATCACGGAGAACATGTCCAGGAAATCGTCTAAGGTCATGTTGCCCTCCCCATCCTCAGAGAACACCTCAGCGATCCGTTGCCGGAAGGGGTTATCCTGTGGAGAGAGGCATAGTGGACCTTGGAAGGGGGGCGAGCTCTCTCCATTGATCTCAGTTTCCAGGCATCCCTCTTGCCCTGTTTGCCTCTCTAGGAAGCATCTTCCATGGTAATCCAAAGAGCAAGGTACAAGTCCTGCCGCACTTGAGACACCAAGAAGATTTTCAGGGTGGGAGCTTCTGAGAGTCAAAGGCTCCGCCCCCCCCCCCAAATTTTGCTGGTCTCTTAAGACGCTGCTGGACTTGAACCGAGCTGTCTGACTGCAGACCAGCACAGCTACCCTCTGAGGCAATCAAAACAAGCTCTCTTGTTATCCTTGGGCGGCTGCAAATCAATCTCTCCCTTTTCCCTTCAGGTAAGAAAATGGCTTCGGTGGAAAACATGCCTTGCTGGTGGTGTAAACAGTTGCCAGATTTAGCTATTTTCTGTTTCCACCAGCAGAAAAAATCACTTCGGCATTAATTCCCTTTGGAGCTAATGAGGATAGTTCCATCTTTGTTGTGTTGTGTCTGTTCACACTGCAGGCGAGGGAGCCCAAGGCCCATCATGAGAACACAAGAGAAGCCCATGTTGGATCAGGCCAGTGGCCCATCCAGTCCAACATTCTTCTGTGTCACACGGCGGCCAAAAGCCCGGGTGCCATCCTGTTCAAGCTCCTCCTGCGAGCTACTCGGCGCCCCCTGCCTCTCGTTGCCCTCCCCTCAACTCTCCCTGCTGCTCAGTACCTTCAGCTCAGGCATGCTGCCAATCAGTTCGTAGGGCAGCTTCACGTAGGGCTTGTTTGTGTAGTCGGGCGGGACCAGCTGAGGGGCCAAATCACGGTACCTGTAAAACAACCTGTAAAGAAAGGGAAAGGGTCACCTGTCCCCCCCGGGGTCTCCAGCGCCGGCGCCCGAAGAACTCACTCAGGCTGGTGAGCCATATTCAGAGGCTTTGCTGAGTGACAGGGAGGGTCCAGCCCAAGATTTTGATTGACATTTTCCAAAGAACAAGAAAACAGGAATCTCTCACGTCCAGCCCAGAAGATGGTCTCTGCTGGTCGTTTGTTAACTGAACTTGACAGCTGAATGCTGGGGGCTGGGAGTGAACAGGCCCAGCACGTTTCAGCTAGAGATGTGAAGGCCCAGAGGGGAGAAGGGCATTCCCCCCCCCAGGTTTTTCCCCAGTTTTTCTTATGGAAATATTGGGAAATTTGGGGGAGCACTAAAAAAAAGTTTGGTGTAGTGGTTAAGTGTGCGGACTTGAATCTGGGGAGAACCAGGTTTGATTCCCCACTCTTCCACTTGCTGCTGCTGGATGACCTTGGGCAAGCCATCTTTCTGTCCCAGCTGTTCTCTCAAGGACAGTTCTGAAAAGAGCTCCCTCAGCCCCACCTCCCTCACAGGGTGTCTGTTGTGGGGAGGGGAAAGGGAAGGAGTTTGTAAGCCGCTCTGAGACTCCGAGGGAAGGACAAGGGGTATAAATCCAATCTCCTCCTCCTCCTCCTCCTCCTCCTCTTAAGTGGAGATGAGGGTTGTAGGGTTGCCAGATCCAGGTTGGGAAACTCCTGGAGATTCAGGGATGGCGCCTGGGAAGGACAGGGGGACCTCAGTGGGGCATGATGCCTCCACAGTATAATGCCACAGAATCCACTTTCCAAGAGATCCTTCGGGGGACTGATCTCTTTGGTCTGCAGATCAGCTGTAATTCCAGGGCATCTCCAGGCCCCACCCGGAGGCTGGCAACGGTACTCTTCATTTAGGTCACTGCGGCTCCTTCTCAGTGGCAGCAGCTCTGAGGGTCTCGGGCACAAAAGGGCCTTGGCTATCCCCTGGAGGTCAATTTGGTGTAGGTGGATAAGTGCGCGGACTCTAACCTGGGAGAACCGGGTTTGACTCCCCACTCCTCCACATGCACCTGCTGGATGACCTTGGGCAAGCCGTAGCTCTGACGAGAGCTGTCCCTGAAAAAGAGCCGTTGCTGTCAAGAGCTTTCTCAGCCCCACCTACCTCGGTGAAATGTTTCTTAAGACAAAGGTTTTCATATTCAAAATGTATAGCATGAAAAAGTCCCCAGATTTCTTCATTTCTTTCAGTGAAAAAAATTGAGAAATTTAAGGGCACAGTAAAAAAACCCTCCTAGGATTTTTTTCCCTTTGGGAATGAGTGAAAAGACAGGCAGGTTTACTCAAAATATGTAGCACAATTTTTTAAATATGACAATCTATAGCAGAGATGTTGAATTCATTTGTTATGAGGGTTGAATATGTCATAAATGTTACTTTGTCAGGCCAGGCCATGGGTAACAATAACAATGATGATGATAATAATATTTAATTTATACCCTGCCCTATGATCCCACGAGTCGGCTCAATGCCATGCCATGCCAGGTACCAGAGATGTCTCACCACTGACTGTGACCCACACCCCTCCTCAGCACCTAACCAACCACCCTTTGGCTCAACATGCACAAGACGTTCTGCGCAGCACTGAGAGCGGCTGCCTGACAGTCCAGGTGCCACAACCAGAGACTCTCCTTGTTCAAAGACTGACATGTTTCAGAAGCTTCTGATGAGCTGGAGCGCGAAGGGCAGCATCATCCCTGTTGCTGCAGACACGGCAGCAGAAGACAAGTGGCTGAGTGGCTTCTGCCAGGGAACCGAACAAGCCCTGCCTTAAAGGAACTGCTATGCTCAACAGGCTTTGGGGAGGGGAGGGGGGTGAGGCAGCTGCATAACCCCACACTGCCCTCTGTCAAAGTCCTGATTTAGCAAAAAGCTTGAGCCACCAGGGGAACTGCGATGGTCCCCAGCACCACAAGCAAGTTTCCAGCTCTGCCATTCTCCAAAGATCCCAGCGCCACTTTAATTGCCTTTTGCAGACTTTTATTTCCTGCCAGCTCTATGGCATTATCCAATCACCCAAAATAATACTCCCCATGTGCAAACGCAGAGATGCACAACCGATGCCTGCCTCTGCCATGTGCAAACCCAGTACACGTTTCTGAATGCCCGCTCCTGACCCTGACCTTCGCCTTACACACACCCCCGCCACCATTCAGACTGTTACATAAGGCAGTGCTTGCATGCAGGGTGCCCAGGGAGCATGTGTGCATTTTAGCTTTGCCTCTTATTTAATCCTCCCTGCCCTGCTGAGGGAGGGGGTCTGGAGAGGAGTCGTGCACATTTCGGTCAGCGGGTTAGCCGCCTCCGGCTCACCCAACTCGATGGGTCTCCTTCACCCCTGACCCTCAGCGTTCTGCATGCATTGTGCCCCTTAATAAAGTGCTGGGCTTTTCTCTCTCACCCAAGCTGTTGTGCACAGGACGCACAGCCGGGCCAGTCACTCTGTTCACCGCTTACATAAGTGGAAACGTTTGGCAAGTCAGCCAGCGGCTTTCCACAGGTGCCTCTGCTCACGGGCGCCTTCCCTGGGCTGCCTGCAAGTGGGAAGTGACTCGGCTGGGCTTGGAGAGGTGGGGCCAAAGAGATTCTTCCTGTGGCACATGAACAGCCAGCCATCTTTCCAGCAGCCCAGGTGGCACAGGTAGGAGCCCAACATGCTCTGGCTGGAGGAGAAGGTGGTGGCAGCAGGTGGGATGTCCCAGTCTGGAGCCTTGGCCTAGGGCAGCAGCAGGCAAGCTCCAAGGAGACTGGCTGCACAGAGCTTGGGGCTAATCCAGCCTTCCTCACCCCTTATGGTTGCCAGCTCAGGGCTGGATAATCCCTGGATATCCGGGGGAAGATCTTGGGGAGAGCCCATGTTTGGGGAAGGGAGGGACTTCAGAATGGGATATAATACCCCAAAATAGGCCCATCTGGTCCACATTCAGAGTGGTCCCCCTCTCAGTTGCTCGTGGGCCAGATAGGAGCCCTGGACAGTCTGCTTCTGGCCCCCCGGCCATATGTTTGACATGCCTGACCTATAGCATTAGGGAAATAAGGATCTCTCAACAGTGCAACTGTAACAACTACATAGTGCAGCTGGACTACACAAGAGTATTCCTTCCCCAGTAAATATGTAGATACGAGGACTGTGTAAGTTTGCTCATTCAAACGTGTGAGCTCTGGATGGAGCAAGGACCCAGGAGTCCTGAAATATCGCACCCCCCCCCCCCGGAATGCATCCTTCTCTGTAGCATCCTACCAGCTGAGGATCATGTTCACTTCAGTCCTAAGTACATTTACTTGTAAATTCAGTGGGACAATATATAGGACTGAGCTACCCAACTGCCTTTCTGCTCTGCCAGCTTTAATACCAGGTAGGGTGGAATTCTATGCAGAAAACAATCTGGGGTCAGGATAGGGTTTTTTGGCTGGGCTGTGGGGGAGGCAGCTGTTTGCTTTTCTCGTAGGTCCAACGGCTCTTCACAGCTGTCATCAGTGAAAGCAGAAGGGAACAAAGAGGGAGAAGTTTCAAAAGAATTCCTTATCAATAATGGATGTCTTATTCATGATACAATTATGGGCTTGGACTCTGTTCCAGGCATGAAAATGCACCCATACTTAGGTTTCACCCCGTTTGTGCATCATGCAGCAGATCAGCTATGGCAGAAGGGGGACAAATCTGGCAGGACCCTCCCGCCCCACGATCCTGGGCTCTTCCTGACCCCAGTCGCTGGCTGCAGAGGCTTTGTCCCTTGAAGTCCTCAGTGGGAGATGGGCAGTGGTGCAGGAAGGACCACTGAATTTTGGCATCTTTGGTTTTGTCTTTTACAGGAAAGCATTTTAAATACTTTGTTTTCAGTGTTCTC